CTTTAAATTTGAAATCAAACAACTTTGTTTAGACAAATAACAAGCTTTTTGAAATTTATTTATTTTGAAGATAATCGTTGATTGGTCATAGCATATTAATAGGTTTTAGGATAAAGTTAAAACTTTTTGAATTTATTTTAAAAGTTTAAGATCGAAAATAAAAAAATAAAAATATTTTTAGACAACATTTTTTTTTTGTATTTTTTGTTAATTTAATTTTGTTTTCTAGGAACTAATCATTGCTATTTTATATATTTTTACAATAATCTCTGGTAATTTGAAGACCAGATTTTTAGTTTATTGGTATTATGGCTTTCTAAAATAATGTCAGACTTCTCATTTTAATTCTCATTTGACGCTGATCAAAATTTTGAACTTTTATTTTAGTCAAAAACATTTGAATGGGTTTTTTTTACTTCACTGATTACAGTCGGTATTGTGGTTTATCCTCCTCCGGCTAGTTGCCATATAGAGGCCACATTACCAAGGTACCGCAAAGACAGGTTCGGCTCCCCAAGGAGCGTCATAACCCGCTCTACGGACCAAGAGTAAAGTGAGTTTAGGAAGAACGAAGATATGTTAGAGTAAAAGACAGAAGTAGTCGTGTTAGAATAGAAAATAGAAAGCGGACAGGATTGCACTCGATGTTAGGAGGTGCAATAAGTTGAAATAGGGACTATAAACACAGGGACTAAAAAGGGACTTCACTGATTACAGTCTAGAGGTTTTATAAAACACTCGTTTATTTACTCATGATATATTTATATTTATATTACCTGGGAATTAGCCGGAAATGAGTATGCGTGGCATGTTAGTTATCTATAAAGAAAAGCCATTAGACTTAAAAATAAAAACTCTACACAATTTTATCTAAATATTTGGAGTTTTATTTAATTACCAAAGTTGCCAGATATTTTATACCTTTACTTTTCACACCATCACCCACCCCTCACCACTGCCTTTACCCTGCATTATTTAGCTTAAAGTAGTTTTATGAAATAATAAATTTTGCTTTTTGATTTGAATCATAAATTAAATTTATGTTCATTAATAGATTTTAAACTTCATTTAATCATTTTTAAGAGTGAGAAAGTTAAAGCCTCTAAACCTCTAAGTAAAAGAGGTTTAGAAACTTAAAATGTAAAACTCAGTAAACTTTTGTGCTGTAAAAGCTTCTCAGAAAAAAAATTCATAATAATTATTGGTCAGATAATTAGAGTTAAGTTTTGAAGTTTCTGTTTTTCCCAGACTCCAATAATTGCACTTATTTTGCAAAGCTATCTCACTATATATAAGTATAATATACCCAAGTTTTGTTGTTACAAAGCTCAAATAAATGCACTTTCTTCAAAGCTTTTTAATTTTATATGAGTATAAACATATCCGAATTTGATGTCTGAAAGTTAGTTTTTTAGCCGAACTCACTGGACCTTGGCTATGTCTTGATCCATTTCACGCTAAACGTCTAAACGCTAAACAGTTGTAGATATCCCATATGTAGAAAATGACATAAAGAGTTTATGCGTCGTTTTTTTATTTTGCGTATTTTATAGTCTTTTTATTCAATTTTTTAGATAGTCGATACATTTGTGATCTTTTGTATGAAAAAACTAAAACAAAGTATAACTGCTTTGCATCCGTTTTGTAAAAACAATTTTGTTTTTAATTTTGTATAATATTGATGTATAATATAATATTATATATCAATATTTAGACTTTCAGTTCTGCTGAAAGGTTAATTTTAGGCTAGACACCCCCCTACGAATTTTTTGGTCGGCAAATTGAAATTGGAGTCGGCAAAATTGGATCTATAACTAGCAGTCGGCAAATGTCGGAAAACGAGAACTTTTTTTTTTTTTTTTTTTTTTTTTTTTTTTAGCGTTAAAAATTTTTTTTTTTGCCTTTAGTCGGCAAAAAAATAGACACATCACCCCTCCTTTAAAATCTCTTCGGGATGGCTCTGGTTACTTTTACAAAATCTTTTAATAAAATGCTTTGTCTTTGTTGCTTAGCTAGTTTCCATATACTTTAGTTATATCAAATAAATAATCCCACTTTTCTTCAAGACATTGTTTAGATTTTTGAACTGAATGATATTTGTTAATCATTAAAAGGTCTATAACAGTGGAAACTCTCATTAACTTAATGAGAGTTTTCACTGTTATAGACCTTTTATTTATTTTTGGTAAACTAAGCTTGAGCCATAAACCAGATAATACTGCGCCAAATCAAATAAAATGACTTCTCTAAATTTGATAAGCAAATAAACCGACAAATAACTTAATTAGCTTTTGGCGTTTCATTTAAATTATCAAGTGGCTCTAAAACTTTGGGTATGTGAGATCTTGTTGATTTTGATTTCTCAAAGTGGACTAGATTTTGAGACCAGGCTTTGATATTTTCAGATTTTTCAGCTATCTGCAAGCTTATTCTTGACATTTCTAAAATACAAAGTATATGTTAACTAACTTATTTTAACTATATTAATTGATGATTTTAGTAAACACAAATTAATCACCTTGATTTGAACACGCTTATTTTGACAGCAAACAATTAAAGATGAAACTTGAAGAAGTATATATATATATATATATATATATATATATATATATATATATATATATATATATATATATATATATATATATATATATATATATATATATATATATATATATATATATATATATATATATATATATATATATATATATATATATATATATATATATATATATATATATATATATATATATATATTATATATATATGTATATATATATATGTGTATATATATATATATATATATATATATATATATATATATATATATATATATATATATATATATATATATATATATATATATATATATAACCATTAGTCGTATCATGCAAAACAATAAAAAATGTATTCAAAACGTAAAAAAAGTTAACTTTTTAGCTTGTTTAAAATAAAAAATTAAATTAAAAAATTTCTACGGGGAATGTTTTTGCAACCAAAAATCTAAAAGCATTTATTTTTATAAGCAAATTTAATAATGTCAGGTTTTAAAAATATACCCATTCATTTTTAAGTAAAAAAATTAAAAAGTCAACCCCTTACTGTGACATCATCCTTTCATTTATATACTCTAATAATTTCTGACACTTGTTGTTGCACTATTTTAAAAATAGAAACATGAGCTCTAAGTTTAAATTTTTTGGCCTCATTTGCAATGACTGCACAATATTTTTATATCATTAAATGCTACATTCAGTTCTCGTCTGATTTTAAGTACAAATATCGTCTACCCCTTTTCTAGAAAATCAGATAACTGGTGCACATCAATGTGACAACAGTTGTTTTACCTTTGTAAACGAGTATTGATTTGCTGTAATATTTTCTGCCAGTTATTAGTCATTGAATATGTTTTATTCTTTTTACTTCCTTTTTTTTTTCTTTTTACTTATCTTAATAGCTAATACTTCAGCTTGTTTTTTTATACATGCTTTATTATAATAAATTTCTTCTTTTTTCAATCCATTTTACATTTGTTTTAATATAATACATTTTTTTATTTCAAATTTGGTAAAATAAAGTATTTACTGAGTTTATGTCTATAAAGCGCTCCAAGTTTGTTTATTAACTATAAAAACACTGTAAAAAATCATTTTTCATCTAAATATTTTAAACCAGTTCTAACTTTTAGACTCTAATGATGAAGAAAACAGTGATGAAGATGAAAACTCTGAAATTGAGCTTGATAAAGATGAAAATCTAGATGAGAGTGAGATTTCTGAAAACACAAAAAACAGCGAGGCAGTAAATTCACATGGACACCATCATCATTTACGACGCCATCATCATAAGCGTCGTCACCATCATGGTAAACGAAAACATCATCATCGCAGACACCACCATCACAGTAAACATCATCATCATCATCATCGCAGACACCACCATCATCATCATCATCATGGAAACCATAGCCATCATGGAAATCACAGCCATCATCATCACCATGGCAACCATAGTCACCACAAAAACAAATCTCATGAGGAAATACCCAATTCAGAAGAAATTGTTTTAGAAGAAAATGAGCCAGGTTAGAGATTTCATTGTACTTTTGATTTTATAATTAAAAGAAAAAAAATTACCAGTTTATAATAATAATGTTGTTGTATCATTAAATAATGTAAAACTGTAATTTCTGATTTTTATTTGCGTTTTTTTTTTCTATTTTCAGTATTTGAAAATGATAATCCAGTCCAATATGAGGAAAATAAGGAAAACTTTAGTGAAAACAGCAAAGGTTTTATGTTCATTTTTGTGAAATTTATTGTTATTGTTTTTGCTTGAAATGTTTGATAAAAACTTATTCCCTTAAATTGTTAACGTTTAGATGAAGAACATGATAACGAAAAAGATGATGATGATGATGAGAAAGATGAACATGATTTTAAGAAAGGTGATTTTATATGTTCATAAGTTTATAATAACAAGTAGTAATAAATTAAGTTGCAACTAACATATTTTGTTACAGTGATTGTTAAGCACAATAAATATATAGCTCTGAGGCAAAACTTTGTGTTTTTAAAAGAAACATAAATTCAAATGTAAAATTATTTTTTAAAAAACATCAAAATAGTTACAGATAATGATATTATTTAATATCATTATCTCTCTCTCTATATATATACAGAATCATTTATTTAGTAATACTTTTAGTATACTGTTAGTAATACTTATAATATCTACAAATTCATGCATAAGTACCCAGATAGCACAAATTCCTTGGGCCATTATTGGCAATTATTGGCTACTGTTTTGGGCCAATATTGGCCACAAAGATTGGACAAAATATTTTAGTCAATCTCTATCAATCGCCCTGCCAGCCATTTTGAAAGTAATTTGTCTAGTTGACTAGCTGTTGATGTTGGATAGCTTTTTCTTACTGCATCTGCATATTAAAATGAGCAATAATAAGCAGATGGAAAGATTTTTTTGTGATCCTTAAAATAATTATAATATAAAAATTTATTATAAAATATTTATGATAAAGGTAATGATGATGACGATGATGATGATGACTATGATAAGAATATAAGTTTTATCTTATATATAACTTTTTTCACTATAATTTTATTTGCAAGTTTAACTACCATATATCACATTTTTCACCCCAACTTGACAACTAAACTCTAATTTTTATTTTCTTCCTGTAAATTTATAAAGCATTGATAGTTTTGCTATCAAGATTTTCATAGCAACTTTTCTCAAACAATCATCAAGACCACTTCCTCCAATTAGAGACAAAAAAATAACCTATAAAGAAATAAGCATTTATCGGTAGCTATATCATATGAAAATGAGTTTACTAAAGTATAAACGTTATTACATATGAAGTCAATTTTAAATAGAAAAAATATACTAATTGAGTTCTTAAATTAAAAAATAAAGTAAACTTTTATATTCTTTATATTATATAATGATAATATAAGAGTTACTGCATTTAATGCAGCATCTTCTTGTTAAAATCCTAATTAACCCTAAGAGTTCATCTATTTCTTTTAATGGAAGTATAAAGTTTGCATGAAGATTTCCACTTGAATTATAACCAAGTGACACTTGCTTTTGGCACTGCACATGTAACTCTGACTTAATTTCCTCTAACCATTTAATCACACTGTGAAGATACTATCAACATCAGCCACAGCTTGTTTTAATAAATCAGGAACTATTCAAAAACAATAAGTTATATTTATAGGAAATGTTCAGGTATATAGAGTCCCAAAAATGACTCTACGAATTTTGGAAGTAACAAAATCTTTATTTTTACATAATTTCTAGTGTTAGGGTTTTAAAAAAGTTGAGAGTGTATAAGAATAGAATTAAAGTTGAGAACTATATAAGAATAAAATTACAGGAGATTTGTAGTTGTAAAACCTATTATATTTCTTCCTGAACTATGTGAAGCAAGAAGAAATACAGTGGGAAACTGGATTCAATATTTTCATCTTACAATATCTAGTTTACAACTTTCATGTTCTCAATTACATCTTAAATTTAATAATTGTAACTTTGCTGTTCTCAATTTCATCTTACTCTTTACATTTACAAGCTACACAAGTGTGCAATCATAGACGTTAAGCTGCAAAATAAAAAATAAAAAAAGCCCCTCTAACTTATTAGAGCACCAGGAACAATAAAAAAGTTAGTATTTTGTAACTTTCAAAAGCAGTCTATTATAAAAAGAACATCTTTTTGCAAATATAATTGAACAAAATATATGCAAAAATATTATTCTAAATACAAAACTTACAAATTGCAGATGTGATGTTTGTGCTAGAACTAGCTGGCGAAGGTTTATCAATTCAATCTGTGGAAGTTTTGAAAGTTGACTGTCTACATGGGGGTGGGGGAAGAAGTGGTACCAAATTTTCATTATCCAAAGAGTCAGAATTAGAATTTTCTGATCAATTGGTCTTTTTTTTCTTTTTTTTGATTGCAATGTCAGAACTTCTAAATTTGCAAACAAAATGTTAATAAAACTGTAATGTAAATATAATAATAATGAATACAAAGTTTCAACATAAGAAATCTATTTTGCATTTAGAATCTTAAAGTTTTAAAAAATATACAATAAATATGATGTACTTTGCCATTGTTTTTTCAGTTTTTTCCTCTTTAAATCATGTTTTATTTCTGAACAACTTGAAATTAAATCAGTGTAGTACAAAGATTTAGCCTCAGTCTTTTTCATCTTTTCATAGTCTGGAAAATTGAATTTTCAATTTTCTTATAATATAAGAAAAATGAAAAATATCAGGTTTACTTTCCACACTGCTATCACTTTCCTCACTGCTATCATCCGACAATGACTCTACATCAATAGATTTAATTGTATCCTGCTTCATACAAATTTTTCTAACTATTTATAACTAATACCACATAATTACTATTTTCATTCAACCTTTCTCTATCTATTGAATTGAAATCCAGCATATTTAACTCAGAATTGTTATCAGATTTGGAGTTATCAAGAATTGGAGAGAAGTGTTCCTATAAATGTTGATTACAAACAACATGATCATCTTTTTGCCCCACAATGTCATTAAAAGAATAGCAGGCATGAGATACAACACTATATTTTTTTAAAGCTGTGTTATTATTGGTGAAAAAAGATTTTGTATTGGACATAATTTTGTTGACAGATTTAATTATTTCTCTTTACTTTGACCAAAAAGATGACACAGTATCCATGACCTGTTGAAATCTCTCTCTCTCTCTCTCTCTCTCTCTCTCTCTATATATATATATATATATATATATATATATATATATATATATATATATATATATATATATATATATATATATATATATATATATATATATATATATATATATGTATATATATATATATATATATATATATATATATATACATATATATATATATATATATATATATATATATATATATATATATATATATAAAATATAAGTTATAAATATATATAATATAAGTTATAAAAACCTTATAAAAGCTAAAATGTAAATAAACAAAAACTATGATAAAAAAATATGTTTATAATACATATATATGCATACTTTAAAATTGAATATGACTTTAAAACTAAATGCAGTTCTATAATAATAATAACTTATTTCCAATAATATTGGTCCAAAATGATTGTGTTAATCAGAGATGTGCGCCATATTAAAAAATCCAACTTTATCGCAACTTTTGGTTTTAATATATAAATTTATTGCCAATCATGGCCCAATACATTCCCAAACAAGTCGGCCAGTATTTAGGCTTCTATATCAACTGCAAATGCAAGCCGACAAACGCAAAGCCTCAGCAAATAAAGCAAAATGATGGGATACAATGGCCCGTTATATTTGTTTAAAAAAATTATTTGCCCAATAAAAAGCCATCGTACGGTGTTTACTGGGTGTATACATAAATAGCATAATCAACACAGGCCAACAACAACAAAAAAGTTTCTGCTTTCAAGGAAACAACACATATTTTGTAGAGAATTTCTCATTTCGATTTGAAATATGTAATAGATTTTTCACCACACGTCAAGTTGTAAAGACCATATCTTTTGTATTTGGGCTAAAATCCCTGACATTTTGAAAAAAAATTATTCAAAAATATGTCAACCTGTATCTCAAAAAAATTTTAAGCAAAAATATTTGTTTTCTAAAATCGCTGAGACAATACGCTTCTTTTGAGACCCAAGTTGACGAATTTTTTGGTGGTTTTTTTATGCATTATTAGGGATTTTACCCCAGATATTAAAGATAAAAATATCTTTACAACATGACATGATGGTGACAAATATTTGAAATCAAAATTAGGAGTGCCATATAAACAAATGTATTTTTAGTTAGGAAACAGAAAAATTTTTTTGTTGATGGCCTATGTAATTGGTTATATATCGCAAAGCATAAACAATGGTATAGAATTCAAAAAAATAGACATTTGCTTTTAGACTCTGATAATGAAGACAGTAGTGATGAAGATGAAAGTTATGAAATTGAACTAGGTAAAGATAGTAATCTAGATGAGAGTGAGATTTCTGAAAACACAAAAAACAACGAGGCAGTAAGTTCATATGGTCATCATCATCATAAACGGCGCCATCATCATAAGCGTCGTCACCATCATGGTAAACGAAAACATCATCATCGCAGACACCATCATCACAGTAAACATCATCATCACCACCATCATGGAAAGCATAGACACCACCATCACCATCATCATCATCATGGAAACCATACCCATCATGGAAATCATAGCCATCATCATCACCACCATGGCAACCATAGTCACCACAAAAATAAATCTCATGAGGAAATACCAGATTCAGATGAAATTGTTTTAGAAGAAAATGAGCCAGGTTAGCAATTTTGTTGTACTTTTGATTTTGTAATTTAAAAAAAAACATAATAATAATGGTAAATAAATTTTAATGAAAAATTTTAAAATCGTCTTTCTTTTTTTCCCGCTTTCTACATCGTTTTTATATCACGATTTATATCATTGTTATATTACCCACAACTAATTTTATAATAATCAATAAAGTAATACTAATTAGCTTTTAACAACTTTTCATAACGCTCATGTAAAACTGTTTTTTCTAATTTTTATTTGCGTTTTTTTTTTCTATTTTCAGTATTTGAAAATGATAATCCAGTCCAATATGAGGAAAATAAGGAAAACTTTAGTGAAAACAGCAAAGGTTTTATGTTCATTTTTGTGAAATTTATTGTTATTGTTTTTGCTTGAAATGTTTGATAAAAACTTATTCCCTTAAATTGTTAACGTTTAGATGAAGAACATGATATTGAAAAAGATGATGATGATGAGAAAGATGAACATGATTTTAAGAAAGGTGATTTTATATGTTCATAAGTTTATAATAACAAGTAGTAATAAATTAAGTTGCAACTAACATATTTTGTTACATTAATTGTTAAACACAATAAATATACAGCTCTGAGGCAAAACTTTGTGTTTTTAAAAGAAACATAATTTCAGATGTAAAATTATACTTTAAAAAACATCAAAATAGTTACAGTTAAGTATTATTTAATATCTTTATCTCTCTCTATATATACAGAATCATTTATTTAGTAATACTTATAATATCTATTAAATATTAATAATATTTATATTATTGTTAATATTATTAATATATTATTAATAATACTTATAATATCAACAAACTCCTACATAAATACATTTGAATAACAATTAATAAGTATTTGGTTAAATATTGCAAACGGTATAGGTTTTAAAAATAAAAATATAAAATAACTATAAAAAAATATCTATAAAATAAAAAATATAAAAATAAAATAAAAATAAACAATTGTATAGAATTAAAAAATTAAGACAGAAATTTAATTTTAGACTCTGACGATGAAGACAATAGTGATGAAGATGAAAAACATGAAATTGAACTAGGTAAAGATGGAAATCTAGATGAAAGTGAGATTTCTGAAATCAAAAAAATTGACAAAGCTATAAGTTCACATAGACATCATCATCAACGACGCCATCACCATAAGCGTCGTCACCATCATGGAAAACGAAAACACCATCATCGCAGACATCATCATCACAGTAAGCATCATCATCACAGACATCATGGAAAACATCATCACCATCATCATCACGGAAACCATAGCCATCATGGAAATCATAGCCATCATCATCATCACCATGGTAATCATAGCCACCACAAAAATAAGTCTCATGAAGAAATATTTGATTCAGAAGAAGTTGTTTCAGACGAAAAAGAGCCAGGTTAGCAATTTCATTGTAACTTTAAATCATCATATGAAGTGTCACCATTAGGCTTTAATAAATAAATTTAATAAATCTCAATTAGAATGTATAGTTTATAAGAAATGTTTATTTTACGTTTATTTTTATATACAAAGTCACAGAAGTAAATATTAGTAAGTGAACGATGCAAACTCTTTAATTGTGTACAAAAAAAGTGTACAAACATAAGCGAGGGTACAGTTTAAATTAAACTGTTTAAAATAGTCTCCTAATGTCTTTTGTGCATATTTTTTACATATTTTATATTGTATATTATTTAAACTATTATTACATAAATAGTTTTATGTTGATTTAAAATTCATAGATAAAGAACATGATGAAAAAGTCTATGAAAAAATGAACACTATTCGAACACAAGATCAACTAATTATATTAATAATAAAAAATGATTTAAATTTAAAAATTTTATAATTATCATAATTATTTTTAGCACTATATACTGGAAACAGTTTTTGATGTTTAATTTTGAAGTTTTCGATTTTTTGACATTGTATATATGTATATATAGTAAATAAAATATATTATAAACTTTAGAAGAATTTGATGAGAACGGTGAACAAGATAAAAAAGTGAGAGATTACCAGGAAGATGATAACAGCAAGTTTGATGAAAGCATAGAAGAAAGTAGCGATCAAGATCATCAAGAGCATCATAGACGTCGTCATCATCATAACAGACCCCACAATCATTCAAAACGCAAACATCATTGTAAGCATAACTACCGTCATCACAGTACGTTGTTTTTTGAGTTCTTTAGATTTGCTTCTTTTTTCCGTTTTATATTTTTTGTGCACTTTTTGAAGTGTGTGCCTTATAAAAAGTTAAAAAAAAAAAAGTAAAAAAATGATTTTTGCCATAAAATTCATTATTAAGATAATATTATATACTTGATGCGTCAACAATATACATTTATTAAAACATACATGGTTGGTTTATAGTATAAATTAAAATAACTATATAGTAAATATACTTAAAAACGCGAAATATATGTTTTTTTACTTGAAAAAACCTATTTTTAGAAAAGTCTGACAAGAGGGAAGACTTGGAAGACAAATCAAAAACCTCCGAGGATAACACAGAAGTTTCTGATTTTAATCAAGAAGAACGTAACTTTGGATTGCCAACATTTTAAAAAATGTTACGTAAAAGAACTTTTTTTTATTTAAAACACATTTTACAGAATTTTTATTTGTTGTTAATTTTTGTATCATTAATCAATGTATTATAACTTTACAACCTCTATTGATAGTAATTTATAAATCTTTTAGTTGCAGAAAATTTGCGTAATACCACAGTTATAAATGTATTTGTATCAAAATATATATATGTAATGCATACGAGGCCGGGGCGATAGGGGTGTGTGACACCCCCCCCCCCTCCATTAATGATTTTTAGTCGGCCCCCCTCCATTAATGATTTTTAAATTTGACCCTTAGTCGGCAAATGTGACCCTTTTTGACTAGTTAGTCGGCAAATGCAGACCCTGTCGATAGGTTAGTCGGTAAAGTCAGTCGGCAAATATCGTTATGGCAGTCGGTAAATTTAAAAAAACGAGGACCTTTTTTTTTTTTTTTAGACGGCAAAAGTTGTAATGGCACCCCCCACGTGACGCCTACTCGCGCCGGCCCTGAATGCATATGTGCATGTGTGTATATATATATATATATGTATGTATATATATATATATATATATATATATATATATATATATATATATATATATATTTATATATATAAATATATATTCATATATATATATATATATATATATATATATATATATATATATATATATATATATATTTGATTGAATTGAAAACACTATAGTTAAAGCAGGTGTTCCATTAATTACGTCAACAAAATAGGGCGAGGGGTCTGGCAATTTTTGACAAGGGGAGGTCAAGAAAAGTTGACGTCAATAACGTTACTCTTTTTAATAAATATAGTTACTTCGTTACTAGTCATGCATACTGGCCAAGAAAAAAAAAGGATCAAAACTTTTTTTGCTTTTTTGTTTTTTATGTGTCCCAAGAAAACCTAACGGTCTTGTCACAAAGAACCGCGAAAGTGCATTTAACCAGGAAATTCATGCCTCCTTCCTTAACGTGACGCGAACATATGTCCGTTTCGAATCTGGGTTTCCTGCTTCTAAAGCAAGCGCTCTAGCCACTGCGCCATGGCCGCAAAACAAGATTGTTACATACCAGGATCAGACAGCCTGCTACTTACAATCGAAGTTGCTCATTTAGAGAGAGATCTTGGAGTTCTTATCTCAAATGATCTTAAACGTAATGCTCAAGTTTTAGCAGCTGGGGTGAACGCTAGCCACTCCTTAGAGAGACTGAAAAAAACTATTTACAGCCTGTGGAAAGAGTTGTACAACATATGTTCGTCATTACCTAGAGTACGCTATCCAAGCGTAGTCACCTTACCTACGGGCAGACATAGAAGCGCTAGAAAAAAGTTTAAAACCTTGCTATGAAAAACATTCCTGAGATTAGGCTTTGCACCGCTGGGCAGCAAAAAGTCATATTTGGTCTTACGACACTTGAAGAAAGAAGAATAAAAGGTGATTTAATTCTGATGTTTAAGTTCATGCGTGGACTAGACGAAATAAACTTTCATGTACAATTCAATTGTCCTTCGTCGTCAAAGTATATTATGCTTAGTCATAATCGAAGACTTACACAGCAAAGAGTACTCAATTGCATGCCAAGAGAGAAATTCTTCACGAACCGTTTTGTGTTGCAGTAGAGTACCCTGCCGCAAATAGTAATTGACGTGACTTCCGTCAACATTTTCAAAAATTGACTAGATGAACATTTAAATTAGTTAAAAGAGAATTTTCAAACGATAACTGGAAATAAACTCTCTCCACATATGTTTCGAGCATTCTATTATGTTCTTAAAGTCCGGTACTTGTGTTACAGATATGCACATATATCTTAAGATTTTTTGTATGGAGGTGCCTGATGCAGCACATCTTTGTTGGTAATTTAAACATAGCAAACATTTATGATTTTTCAAAAGTCTATAAGTTTATTACGGATTGTTGTAAATATTTAAATTACTGACCACTAAAATTAAATAAACTTAAAAAAAAAAATTAGTTACATACTCACTCAACTTAATATTTTAATATTCTGCTTTTTTTAAACCGTGCTTTACTTTAAAAATACCTAACACATACGGAACTAACTAAGCATTCGCGAGTTTTTTAGTCTTAACACTATTATTTTTTAAAAGTTTGTGTTTGTTGACCTGATGTAAAGACAAATAAATATTAATGTAAGTACATAATCTACATTATATCATTTAAATATTTATACCAGAAACGGCAACCTGCTGCTCGCAAGCAGGTTGCCGACCCTGGCATAAACATTTGATCCTAAAATTTCAATGTTATAATGCGACTCTCCAGCTCTATGCATAAATATTATAATATTGAAAACAAAATGATTGTAGCCCTTTAAAAACTGGTAAATTTTTATAAATTATAAACTTTGGGTCTTCTGTCTTAAAAGATATTAGCCCCTTATTACTACATAAATTTCACAGTTCTCAACAACATGGCGTTAATAACTCAATTTAGTTAAAAATGGCGCTTGGTTGCTTTCCTTTTAAACGTGCAATTAAAATCGGAATCCAATAACTCGTGACACCTAATCTAATTATTAAATGTCTTTTAAACGTTTTTTACGTAATAATGTTTAGAAGACGTTTAAAAGACATTTAAAATACATTTAGAACGTAACTTTTAAAAACAAATACCCGGCATCATTTTGAATTTCGCAAGAAAATCCGAAAATTGTGCATTATCATTAAAACTTTCCCTATTCCTAAATAACTAATAAACGTAATCAAGCATGTGAAGTGATACGTTTATAAAACGATTTCAACAATTACTATGAGGTGCCAAACAAACGTGTCTGCCCATTTATTTGGAACGAAAAACCCACAACATTTTTACCAAGCCCATTAAAACTTATTACGTTTTTATTGTTAAATTTAAATCTCTTTTACTAATTTGTAAGTTCCTTTAGTAAAAAGAGCTTTAAAGTTTCCAAAAAAATTGTAGTTAGATTTAATGACAACTATTCTTCCTTCTCTCCCTAACTGACATTTCATAGTGACGGTCATGGTTTTATTACTTAAAAAAATTTTATTTATTTAATTCAAAATATTATATTCAAAAATATCTAGTTATTTATTGTATCGGACAAAACATGGTGGACAAGCTCAAATTTAGAACAAAAGTTGATCAAAAATTAAAAAAAAATAGTAAAACAATTGTACATACTAGTTTTTAAGTAGTTTATTATGTTGTTAACAAAATTTAAAACTTTTGAATCATATTAAAAATCAACAAAAACGTTTAATAACACATTTTCCTTAACAATCTAGATTTTTCTTTGGACAAAACAAGGTGGACATTCAAAAAATCGACTGAAAATCCAAAAAAAAAAAATCAAAAATTAAATTAATATTTTTCAAAAAACTTCAAAAATTAACTTAATATTTGGTAGGACCTCCTTTACTTTCAATTACTGCTTTCATTCTTCGAGGCATTGACTCAATTAATGAGTCAACAATTTTCATGTCAATCACTCGTCAGGCCTTCTCGATTTGTTCAAACATTTCCTCACTGGTCCTTATATTTCCACGCTCAATCTTATTGTCAATTATCTCCCAGAAATTTTCTATAGGATTCAAGTCAGGGCTGTGTGCAGGCCACTCCATTACGGTGATATTATTTTCCTTGAACCATTGTTTTGCAATTTTTGATGTATGTTTGGGGTCATTGTCTTATTGAAAAATCCATTTTAGGGGCATCACCCATTCAGCATGTAATAACATAACATCTTCCATTATATCTTTGTACACAAAGCTGTCCATAATTTCATTAATTTTGCAAATAGGACCAGTTTCAAGAGTTGAGAAACATCCCCAAACCATAGCAGATGTTCCATGCTTAACACTCTTCTTGGTATATTTAATATTGTATCTGGTGTTCTATGGACTCCAGACTCGCTTCTCGCCGTCACTTTCGAAAAGCTTATATTTTGATTCATTACTAAAAAGTATGCTTTTCTACTGGTTTACAGTCCAATTTTGGTGAACTTTGGCAAATGCAAGACTTAGCTTTCTATTTTTAAAAGAAGTTAGTGGTTTCTTGGCAGATATTCGTGAAAACAATTTTGCTTCATTAGCTCTTCGTCGCACAGTGTGATTGGAGATTTGTAGTTCAAGTTTTTTCTGTTAATTTTGTAGATGACAAAAACTGATCATTTTTAAACTCTTTAACATTTCTTCGATCTAGTCTTTGTGATGTTTTCCTGGGACATCCGCCCTAATGGTTTGTTTTATAGCAGTCACGAGATCTAAATGATTTGACAGTTTTGCTTACAGTCGATTTAGCTAAATTATATTTTTTACAAATTACAGCTTGACGTATTCCGCATTTAAAATCTTTAATAATATTTTCACGTAAAACACTTCCTAATTTGTCGTAAGCCCTTTTTAAATTGTATTTTTTTACGCGATATATCACAAGTTAAATCTATTTAGTTTAATTGAAAAAATAACTCGTGTTTGTTGCAAATTGACGTTCCAAAATCGATTTTATTATTTAAGAGTACTCTTATGATAAAAGTGAAACAAAAGAATCCGATAAATAGAATAAAAACAACGAAATCTTATAAAAAAAAGCATCGTTTTGATTTGTCCACCTTATTTTGTCCAAAGAAAAATGTCGTTTATAGAGAAAAATGTGTTATAAATTTTTTTTGTGATTTTAAGTATAATTCAAACGTTTTAAATTTTGTTAAAAACATAATAAACTATTTAAAAATTAATATGTAGAATTATTTTACTATACTTTTTTTAAATTTTGTTCTAAATTTGAGTTTGTCCGCCATGTTTTGTCCGATACTGTATAAAAAAACATTGGGTTATAGTTAAGTATTTGTTAGATAAGTTAGAATAACATTAACTAAGAAAAATATTTATAATATTTCCAAAAAATGTATACTATGTTTGCAAGAAAAATGTAAAACTATTACCTTTTTGGATCATAGAAGTTTACTAAACAAAAAATCTGAACTAATTTCTAAATGCAAACCTGAAAATAAGTACCTTTTAAAAAAAAATAACTAAAAATTATCCTAATTCTAAAAAATTTATTCCATAAATAATTTTTTTAAATGTAATTAATGCAATTTCCTGGTTGCAAAATAACTACAGTTATTATATCAGGGTGTCCACTCTGCTGGAACTGGAAAAAATTTATAGGGTTGTTTTTAAAAAACATGATGGAATATTCGGAAGCACATCGTTAAATCAATGATGCACAAAAAATACATTTTCCAGTTTCTTTATCATGTTTTTCAAAAATAGTTTTTTTCTAGTTCTTTCAGTTTTTCCAGCAGAGTGGACACGCTGTATATAATTAATTATAATAAGCCCCAACTTCCCTGTGAAATAATTTTTCTATAAATTGAATTTTTAGATATTCAGACATATTCCACACATGCATTTATATTTAAGTAGAACCAGTTTTATCCTTTAACTTTTATATAATTCATTAACATTTTTTAAAATTTGTTATAATCTTAAATATTTATTTATCTCAGTTTCATTTCTATGTGACATATCACGCTCTGGCTGTGACATATCACACTCTGGCTGTGACATATCACACTCTGGCTGTGACATATCACACTCTGGCTGTGACATATCACACTTTGGCTGTGACATATCACGCTCTGGCTGTGACATATCACACTCTGGCTGCTCTTTAAATAAAAGATGTACAAATAACAATCCCAACTAGATATTTGAAAACAAAGTTTTTTTCACTAAGTTAATAATATTTAGATTCAACTACCATATAGTTGTAAATGTCAATAATATCAACATTGTTAGGAATCAAATTAACTCCTACAATTTGTTTGTTTTGACTACATGTCTTATTGTCTTGCAGTTTATTCAAAATATTAAGCATTACGTCAACTTTAGGCTATCTTACATAAAGTTTTAGAAGCACGCTGTTAGTTTTCAACAACTTGGACTAAAGTTTTGTAATTACCACTAATAGTCGATTAAAAAAAACTACATTTAACCGCTTAAAATGTCTATAAAGGTCCACTGAAATTCTGCTATAGAATGTTTACTGGGTTTAATTAAGTTTAAAGAATTTTCTAAAATAAAGTTATAGGACGTAAATTTTTTATTGGTTTAAATATCACATAAAAAAATCTTCCACTGAGTTCTAAAAAAATAATTTCCAGTTAATTAGCAATTATTCTTTTAAAATATAAAGAGATTGCTGTGGACTCCTGCGTAATTGGAAGTTTCATGAAACTATAAAAACTTAATGTCAATGAAACTATAAAAATGTTAATATTAACATTTTTGTAGTTATAATGAAACTATAATGAAACTATAAAAATTATAATGAAACAATAAAAACCTTGTTTTTCCTCAATTTTTATAGTAATTTATTATATCAAATGAAATGAAAATGGCGGAAAGCTTGATTTTAAGTTTTTAACTTGTTTAAATATAATAAATAAAGTTTTAAGAAACTTTGTCGTTATATAATATTGTCAAAATGTTTATTTACAATTTTCAAGAATAACTTATTATTTGATAAATACAACATTTTCAAATATATATATGTATACATATATATATATATATATATATATATATATATATATATATATATATATATATATATATATATATATATATATATATATATATATAAGGCCGGCGCGATAGGGGTGTGTGGGGGAGGAGGGGGTGTAACACCCCCCATCAATGACTTTTAGTCGGCAAATTTGACCCTTAGTCGGCAAATGTAGACCCTGTCGATAGGTTGGTCGGTAAAGTCAGTCGGCAAATGTCATTATGGCAGTCGGTAAATTTAAAAAAACGAGGACCGTTTTTTTTTTTTTTTAGACGTCAAAAGGTTGTAATGGCACCTCCCCTCACCTCGCCCCTACTCGCGCCGGCCCTGTATATATATATATATATATATATATATATATATATATATATATATATATATATATATATATATATATATATATATTTACATATATTTTTTTATTTTAAAGAAATTTCTAGATATAGAAGACTTCTTTTCAAAATTGACGGTTATGCGCCTCCACTTTATAAATCTTTATTGCTCATGATAGAAGATACCTAAAGTTTGGAAAAATAAAAATACTTAAAGTTATCACTTTTATAGACCTTTCCATCTATAATATAAAAGTGAGACTCCAATATTATCCTGAAAAGAATCAACAAATCTAAAAAATCAAATAACTATCTTTAGAAGACGTTTTGCAATTTTTTTTTAAATTTTCAAAATTGCAGGAAAAATTATGACCTTTATCAGCTACAGGATTGATCATACAATGTTTGATACTAAAGTGTTTATTTTATTTTGGTTATTAAGCACTGACAGACACAATATCCACTCAATCCTGTAATGTGTACAATGCTGGATAAAGGAATGCTAAGAATTTATTCTTAATTTTTTGTTAAATTGATATCGGCAGAAATAATTGAAGAGAAGCTATCTCTAACCTTAGGAAAGAAAGAAGTTCAGTTACTCTTTAGAGAAAGGTTAAGCCTATTTGTTGACATACCTAAAACTGGGTTTGGCAATAGCTATGATCAGAGGCAATTTTACGGGGGAAGGTGTTTCTGTGTGTGTATGTGTGAGGAGGAGGAGGGGGTGGTATCACCCCTCCCCCCCTCCCCAACGAAGATGATTTTCAAGTTATAGTCTGTTTTTTGACAAATTTAGTCGTCAGTTGGCTATTTAACACAATTCAGTCGGTCAAATTTTTGTTTTAAGGACTTTTTTTTTTTTCATTTTAGAAGCTATTCGTAGAATTGCCTCTGGCTATGATAGCAACACTGCCAGATAACCATTTAAAAATCAAAAAGTTTTTCTTGAAGTTGCAAAAATTGATTGTGAAACAATTAAAAGATTTCATAATATTCCGATAAAAATATTGAATGAATGTCCTATTAGTATCGATCAGTTAGATTTATATGCATTAAAACAGCTAAACGTAGAGTGAAATAATAAGACTGGTATGTTATGCTTCCTAATGTACTTAAACTGCTACTGCATACTCTTTCTATTTCATATGATCTACACTTAGCAATTGGGGTATATTTAAAAGTTGCACTAGATTTAAAATGATGAAGGTTTTTATAGTTTAGCACACAATAAGTCATATGCCTTCTAGTAAAATCAGATCCAAATATATCAAACATTTTTTTTAAAAAACAAAAGAAGTGTTGAAGAAAACCATCAACATATAAAAATATTAAAATAATAATGCAAATATAAAAATAGATATAATAAATTTTTTCTCTATGCATCAACAACCTTGAAAATTCCATTTTAAACAAATCTCAAGAAAAGAAATGTTAAAATGATCAAAACAATGTTTTAAAATTTTAAAACTTTAACTAAAAATACTTTTTACACGTGTAGTCAAACTTAACGCTAATATAAACGCTTATGCGCGCAAAGTACTTGCGTACTTTGCGCGCATAAAAGTTAAAAAAATTATTCTTCCAGATCAACTGATTTTGTAAACTTTAATATAATGTAAAGTTTTTAAATTTTTTTAGGTGCAAACCTACAATTTACCATTTTTGCATTTTCCTTAGAGAATTTGATAACCTCTAGGAAAGTTATTTTTCAAATTTTCTAGGAAAAATGGGTAGCAAAAATGTTAAATTTGCATGTTAAAATATCAAATTTTATTAAAATTTAAAATATTTGTGAATTTACATATTGCTAAAATTGAGGTCAGAAAATTTTTTAACCGTGACATATAAACTCAGGTTGCACTAGAGAACGGAAAAAAGAGGCGAACAAATAAAATTTTTATTCTTTGGGACCCCTAGTAAAAATAAATTAGCAAAATGTCGCAATTTTTTTTACTCAATAACAAACCCGAAAAGTAAACTTAATGCGCGCACTCACTTAACTTAATAGCCACACTCGTTTTATGAGATACTATAGCCACACATAGCCTACATTTACGTCAACTCATGAATCGAGTGTTGCTATTATTTGACAATGCGCCTCAGGTAACATTTTCTTGTAGTGGAGTTTGAAAGTTTTGAACTTTGTAAATAAACTTTACTTATTTTTTTTCTTAATTATTTATAAATTTTTAAAACTGTTATTTAATTGCATTTTTAAATATATTTTTCTTTTGATTTATATTTATAAGTTAATAAATATTATTTTTGCCGAGCAAAAATACTTTTTTTATAGTTTTCATTGCTTTTATTATTGTTAATGGTTCCCAACTCCGACATGACGATAATGGTTCCCAAATCCGAGATGACGCTTTTACAAATGCTCGAGATACGCTTTTCCCAACTCCGAGATGACGCTTTTACGAATCTCCGAGATACGTTTTTCCCAACTCCGAGATGACGCTTTTATGAATCCCTGAGATACGCTTTTCGCAACTCCGAGATATCGTTTTTATGAATCTCTGAGATTTGCTTTTCCCAACTCCGAGATGACGCTTTTACGATTTCGATCGTAAGAAGATTGCGAATCAAACTACTCTTACTGTTTCGGCAAACATGGTTTATTTGACATTATTTAATACATGGTCTATTTTTGTATGAAAGTTGTCAGTTTTCAGACGCAAATTAAAAGTATATAAACAATTCTTAGACAGAAATATATTAAATTATAATTTTTATACATTCATTGTTAATATTTACAACCAACTTATATTATAACGGTTAACTTACAATTAAAAAATTGGTTAAATATCGTTTAACGACATACATCTTAAAATTAGTTTAATAACCACTTTAAACAAATTCTACTTCAAACTTTTAAGTTTAACTTTATATAAACATTTATCATCATAAACAATACGTCATAAAAAGTAATGTCTGGGCATAAAAAAAAGTTACACCCATCGACTGCATATCTCATAAAAAACATCTTGTCATCAAGCACCAAACATTTTTTTAACAGTGTAGCCCTAAAAAACAAAAAAACAAGTGAAATTAAAAACAAAAAAATTGACAAAACATATTAAGATATTAAATACTAAATCAGTATATCGATAGTACGTGTAAATGCTTACGTCCACACTATAAATATACTCGTGCTCTTTGGTCGAAGGGTTTAACCTACTTCATCTAATAGTCATATGGAGATCTTAAATTAAGATCCGTAGAAGACAATTTCAGCGTACTAAAGAGAAACATAACCCGGCGCCACAGACCAAGGTGAGTTTAAAAAATTCAAAATAAAAGTCGAAAGTAATTAGTTAAAAAGATAGAGAAACGCGGGGAAACCGGTCATTTAAGAAACACAAAAACTAATGAAATCTAACAAAAACTAATGAAAACTAACAAAAACAAAAACTTTCTTATCTTTTCTGATTTAAAAAGTTTTTGAAAATTTGTTCACAAAGTAAAACTACTCCCTTGGCTAATTAATGCCCATACCTTCCGACCCTTGGCTGAGTAATATATCTATATGACAAGACCAAATTCAAGGCAAGACAACTGAATTCATGAACGAGGCTGAGATCAAGATATTTAAAGTAGTGTCTCTAAGATTCGTTGAGAAAAGACGGCGCTGCATTGCTAGAAATACACTGAAAAAAGATATTTAGTTAGGTTAAGGAAAAAAAAAAAAAGAAAAAGCAAAAAAAGTGGAAAAGAAGAAATCCAGCATCAAAGGAAAAAATAGAGGAGTAGAAACATTTTTGACGTTTCCTCCTAAAAAGTGCAACTTTTAGGAGGAAACATCAAAAAACAACTCTCTTTAAATTATAAACTCTACATAGTGTAGTTTTACTATCGCATTAGTTACCACAAAGAATAAAAGTACAAGAAAGAAAGTAAAAGCTTATAATGTTCAACAGATTTCCAGAAATATATATATATATATATATATATATATATATATATATATATATATATATATATATATATATATATATATATATATGTATATGTATATATATATATATATATATATATATATATATATATATATATATATATATATATATATATATATATATATACATATATATACATATATATATATATATATATATATATATATATATATATATATATATATATATATATATATATATATATATATATATATATATATATGTATATATATATATATTTATCTATACATATATATACACATATATATATATATATATATATATATATATATATATATATATATATATATATATATATATATATATATATATATATATATATATATATATATATATATATATATATATAAATATATATATATATATATATATATATATAAATATATATATATATATATATATATATATATATATATATATATATATATATATATATATATATATATATATATATATATATATATATATATATATATATATATATATATATATATATGTATATATATATTTATATATATATGACGGAAAAAAACACATACTGAAACTTTTTAGTCCCTGTGTAATAAGATATAAAATATTCTAATAATTCTGAACGGGAGGTAATACACTGGTATTCAGAGTGTTAGCCCTCCTATAAAGACCAACTCAACATCAAAGAAGTAATCCACTGTTGTTTGTAGTGGTTGCTTCTCTTTCATTTCATTGGGGATTGAGATATGACTAAACTCACTGACCAACAAAAGAATTGTATAGCTTTGATGATTAACAAAGCATTTCAAGAGCTAAAGGATGACTTTCAAGTGAAACTAAATCAACAAACTAAATTATTTGAAGTGAAATTAAAGGAAAAAGATGCAGAAATAGCTGAACTTAGTGAGAAAGTAAAAAGACTAGAAGAAAACAATGCAAATTTACCACCTTCTAGTTCACCTGCTGTTTGTTACAGCCAAATTGCTAAGCAACTAGCCAAACCAGGTTCTGAGCTGTATAATACTAGCATCAAAGTGTCAAAAAGTCATGAAATATTATCAAGTAAAAAGTCTAAAAATGTTGTAATTGTTGGTTTGCCTAACTCACAAAAAACTATAATCGAGGATCGCAAAACAGATGACGAGAACATGGTCAACGAATTAATACGTTCGCTGAACAGACGAATAATAATAAAATCAACATTCAGATTAAAATCTAAAGTTCCCTTGGTAAACAATGCGTCTGAACCGTTAGTTGTCGAATTTGAGAATGAAGTTGCACGAAACGAGATGCTGGCTGCAGCAAGGAAACTGTCAACTATTGAGGCCTACAAAAAAGTATATATACGGCCTGACCACACTCCTGATGAGCAGGCTGAATTTGCACAATTAAATAAAGAAAGAAAGGAGGCGAACGAGGACTTGCAACGAAATAATAACCTAGACCAGCCCTTTCGATTTGTCATTAGAAGCGGAAAATTACTGTGCATCAACGTCACTACAACAAAAGACATTGGCAACCGCAAAGTTCACCCATTTGTCAAAGAGAGCGTTGCCAAGCAGGCCCGGAGGGGCTCATATCAGCCAATCTTATAAATCTTACCAAAACCTGAGTAATGTAAAACTTCCTATTTATTTAAAGCAAAATACTAGTACTAACTATAAACCAATTAAATTTTATTATACTAATGCTACCTCCTGTAACTCTAATAAATTATCTGAGCTGTCCACACTTGCTTTGGCATATGAAATTGATGTTATTGCAATTGCAGAAACTTAGTTTAAATTGGATTCGATTAAAATAATTGATGGCTATGAACTGTATTAGGCAGATAGAGATAGAATTGGAGGAGGTGTTGCCATTTATGTAAATAAAAGACTTACAAATATAGAAATTGTAAATGTGCATCTTAACAACAAAGAGATCGAACAAGTCTGGTGCTTAATAAATTGTAATAATTTTCATTTAATTGTTGGTTGTGTATATAGACCACTAAACTCTACAGCTGATTACTCAAAATTGATTCTAGACTCAATCAGAACCGCTTCAAAACTCAAAAGTGGAAAAAAATACACTGATCTCATAGTGGAAGGAAATTTCAATTTTCCTAATATAGAATGGACAGATGATAGTCCAATAATTCATTCAAATGGAAACTCAATTGAACATGAATTTATTAAAGTTTTAAATGATTGTTCTCTATACCAAATAGTAAATTTTCCAACATTCAAACAAAATGATTCTGTTTCAGCAGTTAACACCCTTAATCTTGTTTTAGTTTGCAATCCAAATTGAATTGATTTTCTTCAATGTGGTCCACAGTTAGGCCACTATGAAAAGGGAAGATACCATTACTCCATCACTTGGCAATATTTTACTAGTCTTAGTAACTCTACAGTACTCACAAAAGATAAGTTTTGATTTAAAAAAGGTAATTTTTTTCAAATGAATAAATACTTGAAACAAGTCAACTGGGTTGAGCATTTTTATAACAAATCAGCCTGTGAATGTTATGAGTTATTTTTGCATACATATAAAGAACCTTGTTGATTGTTTATTCCTATTTTGAATAATAAAAAAAGAATAGTTAACCCTGGTTGGATGCAAAAGTTAAAAAAGCAATAAAGATTAAACATTCTATGTTTTATTCAAATTTGCATTGGCGAAGTCAAGAATCTCGAAAGGCTTTTAACAAAATGTGTGCTAATGTTCAAAAGCAAATCAAAAGATCAACTCGAGAATACGAAATGGATTTAGTAAAGAGAGCAAACCTTGCACCAAAACTTTTATTCTCATACGTAAATAGAAAACAAAACATTAAAACGCAAACTAGAGCAATCAAGAACAAAAAAGATCAAGTTACAACTGAGATATTAGACATTTCAGATATATTAAATAGGCAATTTCAGTCTTTGTTAATGATAATGACCAACCAATACCCGAATTCTTGCAAAGATGCAAAAACCAGTGCGATTGCAGTAAATTATCTAATATGATTACCTATGAAAAAATTCTCAAAATATTAAAAGGTATGGATGAGTCAAAAGCGATGGGTTTTGATGAAATTAGTCCGTTTGTTTAAAAGAATGCTGCAAAAGGTTTTGTGGACCCAATTGTTCATATTTTCAAATTAAGCTTTGACACTGGATGTGTCCCTTACCACTGGTCTGTTGCAAATATATCACCAATTTACAAAGGGGGATCAAAACTTGAACCAGAAAACTACAGACCAGTATCCCTAACATCTGTGATTTGTAAAATGTTCGAAAAGCTCATTCGGGACACAATTCTGCAACATTTAGTTTCAAATAGACTTATATCTGAGAAGCAAACTGGTTTTGTTCCAAACAAATCATGCACAACAAATCTTATTGAGACAATTGACACAATTACATTTGAAACAGCAAAAGGTAAACCATTATGCGTCATATATCTTGACTTTGCAAAGGCTTTTGATAAAGTAGAACACAAAAGATTATTGACAAAGATTAAAGCATATGGTATAACTGGTAAAATATATAACTGGATTGAAAGTTTTCTTGCAAACAGGAAACAAAGAGTTGCTATTAGTAATACAGTTTCAGAATGGGTATCAGTTACCAGTAGCGTGCCTCAGGGTTCCATTTTGGGTCCAATGTTGTTTCTGCTATTCATAAATGACCTCCCAGAAGTTGTGCTAAACACATTTAAAATGTATGCTGATGATAGCAAAATAATAGCCATAGAAGATTCCATTGATAAACAAGCGGAAATACAAACTGACCTTGACAACATTGTGAAATGGTGCAACAATTGGGGTATGGAACTAAACTGCAAAAAATGTAAGGTGATGAGATTCGGCAATCAGAAAGTTTTTCGAGGTATTGATAAAACATACACAATGAATATAAATGGAATGATTTATGACCTCTCAAACATTGTATTAGAAAGAAATCTAGGTGTCTTTGTACAACCGGATATGAGGTGGAAGCATCAAACGCAAGTATGTGTTAACAAAGCTTCAAAAATACTGGGGTTATTGAAAAATGCCTTTTAAAGTAGAGATTGTTATATGTGGAAAATTTTTATTACTTATGTGCGACCTCATCTTGAATTTGCAGCTCCAGCATGGAGTCCTCCGAATGTGGCCGAAATTTCAATGCTTGAAAGAGTTCAACGTAGGGCCACAAAAATACCATACTCAAACCGAATGCTAAGTTATGAGAAACGGCTAGTTAAAATGGATTTAATTAATTTAAATCTCAGAAGAAAACGAGGAGACCTTATTCATTTATATAAGATATTAAACAATCTAGAATTTGTCAATCTTAATGTCAAACCAGTCTATAAGTCAAGCATTAAATTAGATGGCCCATGTTCTTCCATTAGAAGTCTCAAACATAAAATTAGAATGCAGTGTTTTACTCCTCTTGAAATAAATGACTTTCATGCATCGGTTAGCTCCAGAACCCATTTCTTCACAAACAGAGTTTGCCAAATTTAGAACAAACTTCTGGAAAAAGTTGTAGATTCTGAGAATTTGAATAGTTTTAAAGCAAGTTTAGACGAATGGCTTAAGAAAAATAAGAAAATATTATTTTAAAAAAAAAAGAAAAAAAAAAAAGTACTGGGCTGCTATAGCTGAACGTTACAACGTCTCAGCTTGTGGATAAGATCCACACAGTTTACCACTAACTAACTAACTATATATATATATATATGTATGTATATATATATATATATATATATATATATATATATATATATATATATATATATATATATATATATATATATATATATATATATATATATATATATATATATATATATATATATGTATGTATATATATATATATTCATGGAATTGATAGGATCGCAAGGATTACTTGAAGCACAAGGATTGATGAGATTTCTAGGATTAAAGAAGTTGGGATTAAAAAAAAAACTAACAAAGATTTTTGAAAATGAAATACTTCTATAATATATATAAAATAAAATTTCAACACAATTAATTTAATGGCTTTTTAAATTTAAAATTAATACTTTAGTTTATCTAAGTTTTTACTTTTTGATTACATTATTTATTTAACTGATATATCTAATTTATATTACTAATGTATTAAATTTGTTTATTTTTTGATTTGTTTAACAACTAATAATATAAATTAATTATAAAGTAAATCATTAAATTTCAATGTAAAAGTAACTAAAGATATTTAGTTCTTTTCTTTGTACTCAAATAAACGTTTTGAACCAAACATATTAACATGCAGGATTCTGACTGTTTGTAACAACATGCAAAATTCCTACTTTTTGTGATAACATGCAGTATTTTGATTGTTTGTAAATCTTCTAACAAACACACCTTAATAGCTTTAGCTTTCAATATATACAAATTTGACCTAAAGAAACTAATGTCCCTAAATATTTAACTAAAGGTTCATATGACTCACTTGAATCAACTTGAACTTAATAAAGACTAAGATAGAAAAATTAATCAAAAGACGAAAATAGAGAACCAAATAATATAGAGAACCAAATGTTGAAAAGCAACTAACTCAGTATTTACATAATTTATTCCAATAAATTCCATAACCTGTTCCAGTATAATGTTATGTGGAGATGATTTCTTTAAATTCAGTAATATTTTGCAGTAAATTTAGATTAGAATCATTAAGATCACCCTTGAATAACATGTTACACTGGTAATATGTAACCTAACATGTTACCCTGGTAATATCTTATCTTAGGAAAAGATTTTAGGTGTATACAGAAAATTTGTGTTGACTAACCTTGCACTTCTTAACTGGGATGTAAGGTTGGCCAACCTCAGGTTGACAAATCTTGGTACCAAGGTTGGTACCTCTTTACCAGCCTAATAAGCTGGCAAAGAGGTACCCCTGTGTTACATTGTTGTGTGCCTAGGATGACAAAGAACGGATCCTTTTGACACTACTTATGAGTTTTGATTGTGTCTTAGTAGTATCTTGTGTCTTGGTTGTAGCTATACAACTTATTATGGTGTCTCTCAATGAGAATAAACCTCTAAAACTCAACTAAATGGTTTGGAGGCCACCTGATAGTAAGCTTTCCACAACTCTGTGGAAGTTCTCAGAGAGTCTATTTATATCAACAACTCTAAGTGTCTCTATCTCTCTACCTCTCTATCTCTATCTCTCTAAGTGTCTCTATCTTTTCACCCAACCACCCTTTTTTATACTTTACTGTTCTTTTTCTTGCACTCTTTTTGATTCTGATCAAACTGACCAATCCATACTTCATTATTCTTTTCAAATAAAACAAAAACAAACTATTCTAAGTCAAGTCTGAAGAGCTTTGATTTTTTTTGTAAGACTCCAAGCAACTAGTCAGGTTTTCATTGTCACATCTTACCTGTGCAAAACATTTCAGAGAGCTGTAGCCACCATATTCACACTATCTTTAAAAACAAAAAAATATATAGATTTCTCAAAATAAAAGCTTTATATATAGAGTTGATTGCTTTATAAAAGACTGGCATCTAAACAAATGTAAACTTAACATCAATATTCTTTGACTGCTAAAGCTTTAGAAGTAGCTAACCAAGACCTTCTTTACAATAAGTAAACAAAGCACTTTATTAAATGGCTGACTTCCCATACTGCATCCTACTGTAAGGATGCAGTATGGGAAGTCAACATTAAAACATAGTAGCAATCTGTGAAAGCTAAACTCTCCAAGTTCAAACTCAAACTTGTAAATAACATCTGTCATATATTATCAGACACTTAACCCACACACGCCAACTAGAAGATACTTGCAACAAAGTAAATGTGCTTTATAAACAAAATACCATTGAACATGAGCAAATGCAATTTTATGAGCTTAAAATTAGCAACGCATATAGTCATATACTAGCAGTTTTTTTTTACCGTTTTTTTTATTACCGTAATAATTAAAAAACAAAAATAAAATAAAATAAGAAAGGCTTTAGCGTGTGATATGAAAGATTTATTATTGGTATCCTTTCATTTAAATGAATTTCTTCCTAAACACTAATATACCAACCAGTTTTATTACCGTTTTATTACCAGTTTTTTTTATCACCAGTTTTTTTCTAAGCATTTAAATCATAACAATGGCAGCAGATCAAGCCTAATTTTATTCAGCTAGGTAACTAAAAAAGCCAAAAAAAACTTTTAAAGAAAAACACTTGTTCAAAGTAATTTCTAAAGCGTTTGATAAAGTTTTGCATGCTGGTCTTCTCCATAAGCTTTCTTCTTACAGTGTATCTGAAAACATCTTTAAGATTATTGAATTCTTTCTTTCCAATCGTAGTATAAAAGTTGTCCTTGATGGACAGCACTCTTCTTCTTATTCTGTAACCTCAGGGGTTCCCCAAAGTTCAATCCTTGGCCCTATACTCTTTTTAATTTACATTAACGATCTTCCAGATATTCTCACATGTAAGGTGGCATTGTTCGCTGATGATACTACCATTTATTCTTGTCACGATAAGAAGCCAACTCCCTCTGATTGGTTGCAGGGGGCATCTGAGCTTGAAAAAGAGCTCACTTCTGATACAGCATGGGGCTCACAGTGGCTGGTGAACTTTAATTCAGATAAAACTCAATTTTTTTCAGCCAATTGTTATCGCAATAATTTAGACCCTCCTTTATTTATGAACGGCAATGTACTCGATGAGTCATCTACCCTTCATTTTCTAGGATTAACTCTCACTTCAGATATTTCTTGAAAACCTTATATCAAATCCGTTGCAAAATTAGCATCTGCTAAAATTGCATCTCTTTATCGAGCTCGCCACTTTCTTACTCTGGATTCTATTCTCTATCTCTATAAATCTCAAATCCGACCTTGTATGGAATACTGTTGCCATATCTGGGGTGGATTTTCTAATGATGCCCTTTCTCTTTTAGACAAGGTGCAAAAACACATTGTAAACATAGTTGGACCTGCTCTTGCAGCCAACCTTCAACCTCTATCACATTGTCGTAATGTTGCTTCTCTTTCTCTTTTCTACAAATACTACAATAGGCATTGCTCTAAAGAGCTAGCGTCTCTTGTGCCATCTACTAAAATTCATTCTCGTGTTACTCGCCATTCAATTAAGTCTCATCCTTTTTCTGTTACTGTTCCTAAGTGCTCCAAAAACTCTTATTCGTCTAGTTTTTTCCCTCGAACATCAGTTCTTTGGAACTCACTACCTTCATCTTGCTTTCCTGATTCATATAATTTACAATCTTTTAAGTCGTCTGTCAATCGTTACCTTGCTCTACAATCTTCATCTTTTCTCTTCCAGTAACTTCCAACACTAATTAGTGGTTGCTTGCAGCCTTGTTAGAAGTGAAGATGTTTAAAAAAAAAAAAAAAAACTGAAGCATTAGATATATACACTGCCACTCTATAAGGCACATTACTCAGTGCAAGTTGTGGAAAAATTAGGCATGAAACACAAAAAATTTAAATGAAAAAATGAAATTCAATCAACATAAGTCCTGATATTGAATATATAAAATATCACATCAAGCATATAAAAACATGTATCAACAATATCTGTGAAAAAACCATAGACAAATTCTATGCAACACAAACTATTTTCTGCATGTATAGATTAAAAATAAATCCAAAAAAATGAAAAGAGTTTAACTTTTTGATCAAACTTTTTACATGAGGTTGACATTTTTTTACATACATAAGATTGACTTTTCTAACATAAGGTTTACATAAAACTTTGATTTCCCATTAGATTATAGCTTTATTTTTTTTTTTTTGAAATACTTCGTGTAAAATGTGTTTTGTTTAGATAAAATAAATCAAAAAAATGCAATAACTGTTTAGAATTCTTATAAATATAATGAATAAAAATCACGTTAAGAATAATCTAAAAGCATAAAATATAAAGCGCAATAGAAGAATGTAGATTTAAGTATATTTAGATAATATAAAAATAATAAGCATAAATATTTTACATTTTGTTAATAACTATAATTTACTATATAACCAAAATTAAAAAAAAAGTTTTAAATCAATAAAATAAAAAATCCATACCGGCATGGAGTAAAAGAAGAGAATCATCAGACCCATAAGCATAGCTACAACCAAGAACTTAAGCAAACAAAATTTATACTGTTCCCATATCATATAACGCAATGACTTAAAAGGATTCATAAACCACGTAAAAGAGGTATCTGGTCGACTAAAAATATTATTAAAAATTTTTTTTTATTATTATTTGAAGTTACATAATAATGGTACTATTATATTTGTTATATTATAATTAAATAATATATTACTGTACATGATGCATTTAAATAAAATTGTCATAAGTTGCAATATATGTGTTTTAGCAAAAAAAATGGTAAAAAAAACCTTTTAAACATTAAAAAAATCAAGTAATAGATAAAACGTGACTTTTAAATGTATTTTTTTTAGTGATTTTGTACAACTTAATGTTTTAAAATTTTGTTATTGCTCATTAATATTTTTTAATTATAATTTTAAAATGTTATCATAATATTGTTTACTTTAGTGTAAGCCTGTAAAGTACTAGTAAACATAATTAGTAATTACATGGTATTACAAGAAATAAACATCCGGTTGTGATACTTATTAATGAAAAAAAAAAAACAATGTAAAGTTAGGTTAATTGTGTTTAAAAATGTAAATTTTGCTTAATTGATATTAAACCCTGTAAATGTAGAAACTGAAAAAGTTCTTATGAAGACACCTTGTGGAAATCAATTAAAAGGATCATTTTTTTGATTATAATCTAGTATTTAGTATAGGCATAACAGTAATGGTACTTGCTGTAACAATTGGTGCAGAACATGAGAAGATGCCTGTTATTGTTTTAAAAGTTAGACTTAAAACAGTTTAAGGACCTTGAGTGAACAACATAGTTTGGCAAAGAATTCCTGTTTTTAATTATTTTGTTGTTAAAGAGATTGTTTCTTGAAGAACACTTAAATTTTTCATGTTTAATTCTTTATACATATAATGGAAGGAGGTCAATTTCTTGTTTTTAAGGGAATGAGTTTCCAATATTTGAACCAATTTGATATTTTATAGTTATTTATTGACAACAATGATTGCAACTAGATACCAATAAATAATAAAACTATAATAAATAATAGTACTAGCACAGGAAATAAATTAAAAGCGTTTAATAAATTAAAAGAGATGGCTTTTAGAAAGAAATTAATGGTAAAACCTTATGAAAAAACTCAGCCTTAAAATTAAACTTAATGTTTAATAAAAAACTTAATTTATTTGAATAATTAAATTTAAATTTATTTTTTATATGTTTAAAAATTAGTATATTGAACTATTTTTTTATATGTTGCATTAAAAAAAAAATGACTGGAATTTCAATTTTGATTGGTTAGTTTAATATAGTCATATCATTTTTGAAATTTTATTTGCATTCAAATACCTGATAAAAATCTTTTTTCCTTTAAATTAGTATTAGTACTGAATAAAAAAATTGGTAATGTGAAAACATAAAACAAATGGGTGCAACTAACTTTATACAAATATAATATAAATAAAATATAATTTTTTAATGTGCCAATAACTTTGTTGGTTGAGGTATTAATAATGTATTTTGTTAATTATAAAATATAATATTATATTGAATAAAAATTGTATTTAAAAAAAAAATTTAAATTAATAAAAGATAGAGATAAAACATAAGATAATGTAAGTTATAACAATACAACCATAAAAAAATAAACATTTATAAACTAAATTGTTTACTCATTACAAATTAAAAAAAATAAATAAAACAAGATAAAAATTTAAAAAACAAACTTTGGTTTATCTAATGGCTGAGGCTCATCTCTACCAAGTCCGCAAGGAACTTTTTCTGCTTCTTCTTGAGTTAGAAGTTCAAGCTCTGCTTCAACCTTTCCTGCAAGTTCAACAGCCTCAAGATCTAAAAACAGAATCAGAAATTTTAACGCAACTATAACAAAATATATATATTGTTCGATTTCTTTTATTCTTCCTTTGCTGAAAAAACTGTTTTTATTTAAGTTGACGTTTTAAAACTTGAAGTGTGCAGAATGTATTTTAAAATTTGAACAGTACCAATATAAATCTTCACAATAAAGTTAGTTATTTGGATTATGCAATTATGGATTATGCCGGTATTGTTTAGAGACTTTGTATGTGCCAAAACAACCTCTAACAATATTTTTTTTTTAATGTTTAAGAATTGAGTTGCATGTTTGACTTTTGTCTAATTATTTCAAGACAGTGCACAGTGGGCCAGTAGGTGGACAAAATGAGAAAAATTTTAGTTATCTAATCTTGAAAACTTATTAAATTTTAGTATCTACATATATTAGAAGAAATTTATTGATAATTTATTTATATTAAATCCCTTAGTTACCAGGACTCTAAGCATTTGAATATTGAAAGTCAAAAAAAAAAAAAAAATTTAAATAAGTAATTTAAGGTGATATTAACGCTGTGTTTTTTCAATTACATCTATGTTTTGGAAACAAATAATTAGTACATGTTATTCTAGAGTATTTAGAGGTAAGAAAAACCAATGCATAAAATAAATATGTCATAGCATGTTATCTCAGTTATACTTTGAAAATCACAGATTAAAAAAAAAATCTTCATAAAATTTATTTTTTGCTGCACTATAACTAATAATTATCATATTTTACTATGTGCTATCTTATATTTATTTAAGCTATATGGTGCTTCAATCAAGTTTTAATTGATTGCTTGCCCCCTTAAATCCCCGTTCAGATTTTATATATGTTTTAACTTGGTTGTTATGGTACTGAATTTTGCATAGCAACAGCTCATTTTTACATTAACGTTGTTTTAACAGTATTTTATCTGCGCTAAGTGCACAATATTGAGAGTATGTATCAAAATAAGATTCACAATTCTTAGGAGGTTATTTTATTTTGGTTGCTATGGCTACCTTACTTTGCATAGCATTTAAACAACATATTTTCGGTAGTTGTCAGTAATTTAATTTCTAACACTAACAGTAATTTAATTACTTTTAATTTTAATTACTAATACTTGTAGTAACTTAATTACTAACACGAATAAGTAGTGCACGTGGAATATATATTATAACATTAAACTTTTAAATACAAAATATTTGTTATAAGAATTATTTAGATATGGTTTTATTAAACTTAGAGATTCATAATTTTCTCCAAAAAAAAAATCTTAGTATTTTAAAACAAAATATTACTGAAGATATATTGAAATTTATTCAGCCCAAAATTTGCTGAATTTAAAGACATTGATTTTAGACATGATGTTCAACGATTTGTTTACTTGTATAAAAAAAAGTGGAAATCTGCCAACTATACTGTTAAAAATTTTGAAAAGAAGTTTTTAAATTGGCTTAATGAGTATTTAATTGTCAGAAAAAAACAACAACAAACCAATTGAAAGTAGACTTTTAGTCGCATTTGATAATAGTTCTAATAAAACTTAAAAACAGCGTGTATCTTGCTTAATTGAATCCCATTTATCCAGTGAATTATTTTTAGTATTTATTGCTAGTAAAAAATTTAGAGATGAATCTATTGTTAGTGATGCCAAGAACTTTTTAAATATTTCAAATACAGATATAGCAACTATATATTCAGCAGATGAAGCACTGGCTTTAATAATAGATGCCAGTCTGACAAAAGCTCCCTATCACTTGATTAGAAGCGGAGCCTTAAAGAAAAAATATATACCCTCAACTCCGCTTACAATGATGTCAGAGATGTGAGATTGAAATGTTTTTCTGCAAATATAACAGTGGAGGATTATTCAACTTAAGTTCCTTTAAAAGATTTAATGATTCATACTTTGCAGAGAATCTATGCAGTTTAGAAACCTATGCTGAGGCACTTGATAATGAACAACAAAGCAATAAAAACAATGACACTCACATGAAAGGCTTGTTTTGATGGTGCTACTGGGCAAACTATTTATAAAGGCGTTTAATCAGAGCCTGACATGAGCAGAGATTTAAAACATGAAAAATTATTATTTATTACTTGCCCCATTGGATTTGACTGGATTTAACAACAGTAACAAAAAGGTGTCTATTTGGAGAAATCAAAAGTTGTTATCCAGAGCCTATTGTAGACCTCGGGAAGATTTACTTGCAAAACGGAATCCAAGGAATTTGTGATAGAAGAAAATCAGTACATTAAAAATAAGATAGAAAGTATGGGTATGATTTTATTAGAGGTTTGCAGTTCTTTTATTGAAGTGAATTGTATTATTAAACTTACAATGATTGATAGGAAAGTTCAAACAATATTGTCTGAAAAAACTAACTCATACCAATGCTGTTCAGTGTGTGGTGTCTCTCCAAAAAATATGAATATTCTTGATATCCTTATTATAGGTTCTACTAACAGAGAGTTCAAATATGGTCTTTCCATTCTTCATGCACGGATTCAATTTTTTGAGATGGTTTTGTACATTGCATATAAAAAAGAAACAAGAAAGTGGCAAACAAGATCTAAGAACATAAAGAAAAGGCATCTTTAGCTAAACAAAAGATTCAGATTGATTTTATGAACAAAATGGGACTAGTTGTTGATTTTCCTAAGAGTGGTGGTTCTGGAACGAGCAATGATGACAATAACTCAAAACGTGCTTTTGCAGCATATGAACAAACAGCTGAAATTCTGGGTATTGATCAAAACCTTATATTCAGATTTTACATTATCTTGGTAACACTCTCTTAAGGATATGAAATAGACAGCTTAAAATTCAAGGATTATTGTTTTGACACAGTTAGACTATGTATCCCTTTATCCATGGTATTACATGGCTCAATCAGTTCACAAAGTATTGATACATGGAGATGACATAATTAAAAACCTTACATTACCCATCGGACTTATGTCAGAGGAAGCTCAAGAGGTTAGAAATAAAGACTTCAAATCTTATCGCAAAAATTTCAGCCAAAAAACATCCAGAAAAGCAACAAATACTGATCTTATCAATAGACATCTAGTTTCTAGTTATACTGTTATTTCATCACTGCGTAAATCAACATCACACCGAACAAATCATAAAGCATATCTTCCAGATGTTTTACAATTACTTAAACAATCTTTAAACGATGTTATTGTTTTATAATTTTTTAATGTAATTTAAAATTGACAATACTTTCTGGCATTATTTTTTTGTTTTTATTATTGCAAAAACATTATTAACCTAAAAAACAATGGTTATTCATTATAGGTGGGTTGAAAATCCAATAAAATATTCAAATATCAACATACATCTTTGTAACTAAGGAAAGTATCTGGTAACAAGCAATATAAGTATCCATAGAAACTAAATTTAAAAAATTATCACTTTTATAATAAGTGTGATCTCATATTGGTACTCATGCCAAATTTAGGGAATATAGAACTCATAAAATATCTGCAGATAACAAAAATAGGTTGTTGTTAAGCAAAATAAAGATATCCTTAGCAACAAAATAAAAAAATATACTTTCATAAAAAGCACAAACATCATCTAAATACTCATGCTAGTTTTAGTGAATAAAGCTCTAATATTAAATTAGTTATGAATTTTGTCCAGTAAAAGTGAATTCTGGCCCACTGTGCAGTGAAATGAATGAAAAAACAAGACAAAAACAGATTCATTACTCCTGATAACTTATGCTCATTCTTAACGTGTCAAATCTTTGTGCTTGATGCATAAGTATTATTCTTTTCAAAACTGATTTCACTAACAAAGGGCTTAATTATTCATTTATTTTTTATTTGCAAGCAAAAATTTGTATTCACCAAACTATAGTCAACATTAAAATATTTCTAAGGTTTAAATCTAATCTCACAACACATGGTTTTATGATCATTTTTGACTGCACCAAGAATATAGCAATTTTCAAACATTTTTTTAAGCCTGAACATACATTTTACAAAATGCTGTTGATATCATTTCCCCCTTAGTTGCTACTGCACCTGATTGCACTTATAAAAGTGACAAGAACATAACCCTAATAGAACGCAACTCGGAATTAGACTCAAAAAAGTGCGAAAAACCTATTATAAGTCGGAATTAGAGCAATTTTTTGACGATTTTCGAATATAAAATCTTTTTTAAGGCTGATTAGTGGGAATTAGAGTTAAATAAATATTTCGCATTAATTTCGAGTTAATAAGATAGATTCAAAATCTTTTCAAGTCCATATGAGTAATAATTATGTTTCCGCATTTCAATACATAAATGTTTTTATCTTATTATTTTTTTTATTACCAGTAATAAAAAGAATAATAAAAATATTTAAAAAAATATTAGTAAAAATATTCTTAATAATTAACAACAGAGACTCATATATATTATATCATATATATTATATATGAGTCTCTGTTGTTAATTATTAGGAAAATTTTAACCTTATTTTAAAATACTAAAATATTTATATCTTATTCTTTTTTATATATATAATTATTATATATATAAAAAAGAATAAGATAAAAAAATTTTAAATAAGATATAAATATTTTAGTATTTTAAAATAAGGTTAAAATATTCTTAATAATTAACAACAATATATATATATATATATATATATATATATATATAATATATATTTATGTATATATATATATATATATATATATATATATATATATATATAATATATATATATATATATATATATATATATATATATGTATATATATATATATATATATATATATGTATATATATATACATGTATATATTATATATATATATATTATATATATATATATATATATATATATATATATATATATACATATATATATATATATATATATATATATATATATATATATATATATATATATATATATATATATATATATGTATATGTATACATATACATATATGTAAGTGTATATATGTGGATATTAAAGATAATATCTTTGTATCGTCATGTATAATACTGTATGTGCACTACACTAGATACTATATAGTAGAGCTATATAGTATATATACATAGACACTATATACTAGAGCTATATAATATATATTACTGATACCAGGAGTTATTATGTGTGAATCCAAGTTTCAAGTGTTATCACAGTCATAAGGCAAGTAGTAAAAAGTATATTCTGCTGCCTCCTATTTAGCTAATTTCTGGTACTGCAGGTAACAGTAATATATACTATATATATGTAAAGCCCTATGTTTTCAGGTACTTTGTTTTTCTCTCTTTGAAATAAGTAAATAAATATTAAATTGAAACTGTAAATACTTTTAAATGATAGGCAACACATATTTCTTTAAGTACAAAAAATTTAAAAAGTTTAGAAAACTTTATAGTTAAATTGTAAAAATTATATATGTAGAAAGTTTTAACTAATTATTTAACAATTAAAACATGTGTATAGTATATATTTATAGTTATAGCACAAAGTGTACATGGAATGTTTCAAATTAATAATAAATTTGTAGGAGAGTTATGAAGAATTTTGTTTTCCGGATTTTTTTATCAACTTTTACTTATGAGTTTCATTTATTTCATTCATATTGTATTAGTCTAGTTTCACTTAATTTTCCTATATTATTTTAAATCGTTTTTTCAACATAACGCTAAATTATTTATTTGACAGTAAACGATAAATAAAATAGTACATCATTAACAAATGATGAAGATTTGTTTGCAACAAAGTTGAAACACAATATTGTACGTAAAATATAAATAGTTTGCAGTTAATATTTTACCCAGTACCTTATTTTTGTGTAAATTCAGTTTTGTAGTGACTTTTTCTGTTTGAATTGTTATAATTTTCATTTAATTTTTGAAACTTATTTCACAGGTTTTCTAAAAAATTGAAATATGACTGAAAAAGCCTTCGATAGTGATGGAAAACCAATCGTGCCGTCTAGACCACTTGTAAAAAGGATCTTAGCTAACAATCCGAAGAGATTTTGTGGAAAATACATGTTGAAAGAAATGATTGGAGATAATTTTGATTGCGACGCTCATTATGAGCGCAATAAAAAACATGCGTGGGCGGTTGTAAATTCTTCAAATATTATTCCTGTTCCTTCTGAATATAATGGAAAGCCAGAAAATTTACGTAGCAGTGCTGCTACTTTCTACACCACTCCAATTTCGTCTATATGGCAATCAGAGTGTGGCAATTTCATTTTGTTCCCTCCTGATGATGCCTACACTTTTACTACGATTGAAAAGTTTCACACCAAGGACTGGTTTCCGAGGATCAATTTTAAAGAATATTTGTGTTACCCATCGAGTGGCACAAAATTCAACATTCGAAATCGTAAGTATAATTTGAATTCCATAAGATTTTTTTATGTATGAAATGTATTTTTGTTCGAGAGAGTTATACATGGCCCAAAATTAAGATGATTTTGAAACCTGTCAAAAATAAATAATAATTTTGCTCGATTATTATTTCTGCTCGATTATTATTTGATCCCAAGTTTATGTATTCTTCATCTAATGCGTGGAGAGAATAAATATTATCTGCTTCTCCAACCTCTTCTTCTGCTGCAGATGTACTTGGAATCGAAGGACTTTGAGATGTGTTTACCTCCTGCTCAGATACCACCAACTTCCTCTTTTTAGCTGCTGCTGGTAAAGCAAACTTATCAGAAACCGAAAGCTCATTTAACAAGGAAGCTGATCCAGAAGATAAAGATTTTGTATCTTTGTTGCCTGATGATGAAACGACGATAATATAGTAGTGCTCAATGCGACAGGGCCGTCATCATGTTCATATAATCCGTTTATGTAAATTGGATCAACAGCACGACATTTCAACTTATTTCGATTCAATTTGGCAATTTTTTGCATTTTAGCTGCAGATTTCTTGGCATTCCTCACTACAGCAGCTAACTCATCTTCGCGTTTAAGTCTCTGAAGTTGCTGCTTTAAAAGATAATATAACGATTTCAAAACACGAAAGTCTCTATCAAGTATCTTAGCTATCAAGTATTCAAGATTTTCACGACCCAAGGCTTTCACTAAGTCATACTTCCCATCAGGCCTAATATAAGCAAGTTTTTTGTGACCGCCCATTACTTCTAAATATAATTTAACTAAAATAATTTTATTTAACGTTTACCTTTGAATGCACTTATTAAGCATTGTTCGATAGCTAGTTACTAGTTCTTCTCTCATTTTTAAGTGGTTTCTAGACTTTTCTTAAATCGAGCGCTTGCTTAAAGACCTTTTCTCACGACCTTTCATGCTATAAATTTAAGCTAGCAATTTAAGCTCTAAATGTTTAACATAACAGATAAGTATCTTAATGTTTTAAGTAATGGTAATATTATATTATTATGGTAAACTACTTTTTTTGATTTTAACTTATATCTTCAATTCTTATATATAAGTACAAGGTAACACAAAGAGCAGCACTTTGCTCTAGAATTCATATACAATTTTATTGTTTTAAAACTTCGTTTTTTTATATATAGATTTTTATAGATCTTATAATTTTTAAAATATAGATGATTATAATTATATTTATCTCTAGTTATACTTATATCTAAAGTTATCTCTCAATCTATTGTATTTATTAATTCATATTAGGAGATGAATAATTTAGTTAAAGATGCTAAATAGTTAATGAATGAAGGTTTGTAGTTTTCTTGCCTTTGTGTCACTGACAGCGTCATCTTTTTATGTTTGTTTAGCTTTAAAGTTTTTTTATTGAATTCTTAGAGAGTAAGTTATTTTTTTAATTTTGTTACAGAATTGTTATATTTATTTCTCTGTTTTCTTTCGAAATTCGTGTTTAAAATGCATATAAGTTTTTGAAGTTATGCTTTTTTTTTTTATTTTCTTATATTACAGCATTATAATCTTATATTATAAAAAGAATATAATAAAATAATTTTTATTTTATGTATGTAAATATTTTTATATTTGTTAGTTGACAATAATTTAGAAAATAGAGAAGTCCAAAGTAAACTTAAATATATTTTGATTTATTTATGAGTGAATTTGTGTTTTTGTTTTATTTTATTATAAATTGCAGTTTGTATATGTATATACATTTACAAACTGCCATCTATAAATGAACTTAAGTATTTACATTTAGTTTTTATTTCATTTAAACAAGCCATGGGTTGTGATATTTAGCTTTTATTTAGCTTTTGCTTTTTTTGTTGTAAATACTTTATATGGCTTTGTTTAATTTGAGATTTGTTGGTTGTGTTTATTTAGCTTTTCTTGTTAAGGTGCTGATTTGCTGAGAAGAAAGTTACACAAGCGAATTTTAAGTTTGTATATACTTTTGATATTATCTTTATAAATGTTCTGATCTTTAAAATGAGTAAAATCATTTTTGGTAATGTTATCTTGAATTTTATAGTATTATTTTTTTATACTTAAAACTTTTTTCTTTTTTTTTAGACTTTAAAAATTTCTATTTATGATTTATAACATATATTTTTAAAGTTCTGCTTTCACGATATTTGGTTTTAGTTGGCTCACTGTTTAATATAACTTTAATTTAGTAAATTTGAAACTCAATTAAATAATCAATTAAAGCTAGCGAGTAAGTCACTTTAATTCAATAACACCGAGGAATTTATGACTTAAATTTTTTTGCTTGAATAGATTCCAATTATTTTTATATACTATAAACATTGTCAGTTTCTAACTCATTTAGTATATTCAATGACGATCAATTGTGAAGCGACAATAACATTGTGAAACTTTAATAGGCATATGTTTGGTGTGCATCTTAAGATTATGTTGGGGTTTTTAATAAATGTTGAACTTTTTCCACACAAAAATTATAGTAACTGTTATACATTTATTTTAATAAATCAACAGGATGATAAAATTTAATTTGTGTACATAAACTTGGTCAAATTTATCTAAAATAGGTTTTTAATATGTTATATATATGAAATTAGTTATCATAAAGTTCAAAATCAAAACTTTTTGCCTGCAGTGGAAAAGCTAAGAAAAAGGACTTAGCCCGAAGATTTGTTTTATATAAATAAATGCAATAATATAAGGGAGTTAGATGAAAGATTAATAATAAAGAAAAGTTTCATTTGTTGGTTTCGTTTATTCTTTACATTAATATATATAGAAAATATTTTATAGGGCTGTCAACTTTATCGAAAAGGTGATCGTTCAATTTCAGCTTCGATTAATAAAGTTTTTGATAAAGCTATGTCAAAAAGTGTTCAGTCATTGTTTAATAAAGCAGGGAGATATGACAAAAGATTATTTTAAAAACATTGTTGTACAAAGCAAGTAGGTAATTTTTAAATTTTAAATTTTGACATGTTTGTTATTTACATCATATTAGGAGATAAATAATATAGGCAATGTTTAAATGTTGACATGTTTGTTATCTTATTTTATTCAATAATCAAATGATAATTACGTTTTATTTCATTGTTATACAAACTAAACATGTTTATACATCACACTAATTTACCCTTACTATAATTGTGTGCGTATGTAGCATTCTTTGTATGTGCTAATAAAAATGCTAAAAATATTTATATTGGATTTCTTTTTTAGAAACAATACTGTCACATGTAACAAAATTCGATTCGGTGTCAGTTCGTCAATGCGTTGATAGGCGATCAAGAGAGCTCCTTAAAAAATAAAATATTTTATATCGTTTTTGTATACTTTTTTTATTAAAAATGAATATAAAATTATTAAACCTTTAGACAATTATTTCTTTTAAAATCTCTATGCAGATTTAGGCTGCTACACCTAAATTTTTCTATAACCTATCTGCATAAAAAAATTTAAAACGTTTTAAAGCGTTCTTGTGCCCCTTGGGCAGTTACAGCAGACTAATTCCGAGATAAGTGACTGGAAGTAATCCCTATATGGTGACAGCACATTACTTAAAAAAATATTTCTAATTCCTGTATTGATTTGAGTAAATCTTACTTAATATGTAATTTGCTAATTCCTACTTATTTTCCTAAAAATCGGAATTAAGTTTTTTACAAAGTTGGGAATTAGGTTTATTAAAAAATTCGGAATTAGGTTTTTTACAAAATTCGAAGAGTCCAATTCCCAGTTATAAAACTTAAAAGTTTCTAATTGCGAGTTGCGCTCTAATATAGCAATTTTCAAACATTTTTTTAAGCTTGAACATACATTTTACAAAATGCTGTTGATATCATTTCACCCCTAGTTGCTACTGCACCTGATTGCACTTATAAAAGTGACAAGAACATAATTGTTGCAACAAGTACTATTAAAGTCTCTTCCATCACCAATTCAAATTAAGTAGGAAAGTAGGAAGTAGGAAAGTAGGAAGTAGGAAGTAGGAAGTAGGAAGTAGGAAGGCAGATCAATTAGATTTAAAATTAATTTTAGATTTAGTTAGCTTTTCAAATCACCGCATCATTCATCACATCATCACACTCATCACATCATCACCATCAGGTAATCTTAAAAACTGTCTTTTTAAACTAAAACTTAAACTAAAAGTCAACCTCTTCAACTACAAAATCTACAAAAAAAAAGTTCACTCAAAGTTCTAAAGGTGGAATAATTACAAAACTAAAATCACAAAAATGTGAGAACTATTTCAAAAACAAAAATAAACAAATAAAAAAGCAATGTAATTTCAAAGCATTTAAAATTGACATCAAAAAAATCTGTTACTTTCCCAATATGATGGTAACAACAAATTACTACTCCTGTTTTTAAAATTTTAAATATTTAAAATTCTTGAAATGTATTGCAGTAATATTAACATCCATTTTTTTATTACCATGTTAGAATTATCTCACAATTCCATTTAAATGTTTTAAATGTAAGGTCCAATTAAGTATTACATATGCTCAGAGCAAATGTTATACTTGAATGGACCTTACAAAAGAACAAATTTTAATTCAACAAACTTTTAATTCAAATTTTTTTTTCAAAAACATTTTTTAATAGTGAAAACTTTTTAATAATTTTTTATGCCTAATTGATCTAGCTTTTTCATAATGATAGCAACATCCTTTTTGAAATTTTAATTATAAACTTTTCACACCTTCCTCATGATCAAAAAAAAAAAAAGGAAATAGTTTTGCTGAATGTGTTTACAGTAAAATTTCAAAAAAGATTAACTAGGTAAATTAGTTAAAAAAAAAATTAAATAAAAATTGTAAACCTGTATTTACTGCAAAAGGCCACCATCCTTTCATGTGTTTAACTTTAAAAATGGAAACAGTTTTGTCACACTTTGTTGTTTCCAAAGTACATGTTTTTGCTGTCTTAGCACCACGGGGCATGTGGGACAGGTCCAAACATAAGTCCCCTTAAAAGAAAATATTTTATAAATTTTTATAAAATCATTTTACTCAACCATTTTTTATTAAATCATTTATGTTTTCTAACAACAAACATTAAACAAAAATTTAAATACCGATGAAATCATCAGCAGAGAAAGCATCTGCATCCCAAACTTGAAGTGTAAGTCTTGATGGAACCTTTTCTTCAGATTCATCCCAGGAAAAAAAATTTGCCTTTTAAAAAATATTAATTTTAGTCAAAAATTACAGATTTATGTAATTTTTGTTGCAAGAATTTCAGGGTTTCTATATAGGTAATATAGAAACCCTGATATTAAAACTTTCTATAGGTAATTTTAATATCTATAATTTGCGCATCACAAAATATGAAGGTATTTTAATAAAAAAAAAACAATTTATAGATATTAAAATTTTCTATAGGTAATTTTAATATCTATAAATTGCGCATCACAAAATATGAAGGTATTTTAATAAAAAAAAAAACTTGTACAAACCTTTTTTTTTATAACAATTTTTTCTTCAGCCTTTTGATATTGGAAAGGGAAAACAAATCTCCAGTTAAAATTTCCTTCTCCTGTTAGTGAACGATAATGAACATCTGTCTGTTGTTTTTCTTCTTTTAAACCCTCCAGCCAACTTTAATATTAAGATAAAATATATCAAACATTAAATTATTATTAAGCTAAAAAAAATTTTTGGTAAATATTTATAATATAATAAGGGGTAAACAGATTCTATCTGTTGACCAGCCTCGCACCCCTTCCTCATCTATTAGGCTGGCGCAGATGTATTTTTAATACATTGTTTCCAGTTTAGGATGTTGAACGCTGGATCTTCTTGACTCAATGCGTGGGTATTGCTTGTGTCTCTATTTTTATGACTGGGCAACTCATTCTATTATCTCCTAATGAGGGTACAGCTCTAAAACTCAGTTTTATGGTTTTGAGGCCGGCTGGTAGTCAGGTTTCCCGAACTCTGTGGTAGCTCTCAGAGAGGCTGATTCCATCAACAGCCGAAAAATATCAGAGTACTAACAGTGCCATGTTGCGCATGGATGGTGTCCCTGTTTGTACTTTTGGTGTGCAGTGCAGAGGCCACATTTGGAGCCCTTTGTTACGGCTTAGGGTTTATTAATAGTAATGAGGCTATTGCTTAGTTGTTAAATAGTGTACTGAGTACTATCTATACTTGAGTCAAGTTCTTTATAAATTTAAAATGACTAAAGTACCTAAAACTAAAAAACACAAAAAACCATCGTCATCACCAAGTTCTCTAAACCTATCATTTACTAATATTCGTGGTCTTCGAAGTAACTTTTCTTCTGTTGAGTCTTATCTCTTGCAAAGTTCACCAGACCTACTTGCTCTTTGTGAGACCAATTTGAGTTCGGCTGTCCCATCTTGTGATCTTAGTGTTGATGGTTATCTTCCTTTAATTCGTAAAGACTCCAATAATCACATGCTTGGCCTGGGCATCTATATTCGTAAGAACTCACCCATTTGTCGTGAAACTAGATTTGAATCTACAGACTATTCATTTATGTGCTTTCGTTTAGCACAACTTCACTCTATCGCCTTTCTCTTTGTTCTATATTGCTCTCCTTCATCCCAAGATTGCACTATTCTTGATGTTATTTCTGATCAAATTGACCGAGCCCTCTCTCTTTATCCATCGGCCAATATCGTCGTTGTTGGTGACTTTAATGCCCATCACACCGATTGGCTTGGCTCTAGTGTCAGTGACTCTGCTGGCGTTAAGGCCCTCAACTTTTGCCTTTCTCAATCTCTAACTCAAATAGTCAACTTTCCAACTCGTTTTCCAGACAACCCTAATCATTTACCTTCTCTACTCGACTTATGTCTTGTTTTGGATCCTAGTCAGTGCTCAATTTCTCCACATTCACCCTTAGGTACTTCTGATCACGGTTTGATCTCTCTAAAACTATTATCAAATTCTTCTACTTCATCAGAATCCCCCTATCATCGTACCACATACAACTACCTTAAAGCTGACTGGGACTCTTTCCGTGATTTTCTTCGTGATGGCCCTTGGGTAGAAATCTTTCGTCTTCCTGCTGACAAATGTGCTTCTTACATAACTTTGTGGATTGCGCTGGCATGGAATCTTTTATTCCCTCTCGACGATTCCAGGTCAAGCCTCACTCTTCTCCTTGGTTTTCCTCACATTGCGCTGCAGCAATTTCTAATCGAAACCGTTACTTCCATATCTATCAGCAAAACAATTCTCCAGAAAACAGACATCTGTTCACTATCGCCAGAAACCATTGTAAAAAGGTTTTGTCTGACGCCAAAGCTCGCTATTCCCAGGTCATTAAATCTCGTATCTCATCACAAAAATTAGGCTCTCGAGACTTCTGGAGAATCTTTAACAGTATCAATAATAAGGGCAAATCTGTTATTCCTTCTCTCTTGTATGGTTCAGACTTTGTCACCTCACCTAAAGACAAAGCTGAATTGTTTGCTAAGAACTTTTCATCAATATCATCTCTTGATTCCACTAGTTGCGTTTTACCTGACCTAGCCATCAAACAGGTTGATCCCTTGCTTGACATTCACATCACTTCAGCTTCTGTATCTAAAGTAATTTCCTGCTTAGACTCTTCAACAGCTTGTGGCCCTGACAACATTCCTGTTGTAGTCTTGCAGAGGTGTTCTCCGGAGCTTTCATCCATACTTTCTAAACTATTTAACAAGTGCTTATCAGAGTCTTGTTTTCCATCATGCTGGAAAGCAGCATCTGTTATCCCTATTTTCAAAAATTCCGGAGAGCGATCTGATTCATCTAACTACCGTCCCATTAGTCTTCTTCCTGTCATAAGCAAGGTTTTTGAATCTTTAATCAACAAACACTTAATCTCTCATCTTGAATCAAATAACTTACTTTCTGATCATCAATATGGATT